TATCATTTTTTTCAGTTCGTTAACTGCGACGTCTGGTTGTCGTTCCTCTAAGACTAGTTCTGCTATGGAGGTTCGCGAAAAAGTACACAGCCCGGTACCGTGCTTCTCGACCAGCATTTCTGGTGTAGGTGCGGATGCATTCGAGTGGGTTCCCTACATCCACATCCTTAGTCCTTCAAACAACAAGATATTCATTTGTGCATCTTGGCAGAGTTAGGAAGGAAACAAACAAAAGAAAAAAATTTACATAGACAAATATTTTTTGTTTGCATTTCATTCGTCCTAGGTTAGATAAGAACACAAAAGATACTTTCACGAGTCTCATTATCTCGTTACAGTTTTATTGTTTCTTATTATATTTCACATAGTTGATAAGGAATCGTCGTCATTGTTTTTGTGTCGGTATTCAAAGTTGGTTGTATTTGTTTTGATGAAATGTCTTTCTCATCCCTACCTGTGATCAATCTTGAGTCGGATCCGGAATCCATTCGTCGTTCACTTTTATTGGCCAGTTCGAGCACAGGCTTCTTTTACCTTTCCAATCATGGATTAGACTCTTTTCAACCTCGCATGTTTACTCTGGCTAAAGAATTTTTCCATCTTCCGCTGTCCCAGAAACTTTTGTATTCAGTGGCGTCCGAATCTTATCAAGGCTATATTTCATTTGGTCAAGAAAACCTCGACTCGATCAATTCGAACCTTATTGATGAAAAGGAAGCATTCACATTTCGTCGTCGAGACTTGCAGAATAAAGAAAAATTTCCAGACGTATTTACTCGTGAAGATAATTTTGACTTTCTTGCCGAATTTTTTCGAGCTTGTTACGATCTCTGTATGCGTCTGCTCGAATATTTAGCCGAAAGTTTTGAAATTGATCGAGATTATTTTACAACGAGACACAAATGGGACGGCGAACCGGGCAATGCACTCAGGCTGTTACACTATCCACCCACCAATAAAACACAACAGGATTCTAAAGCCATACGAGCGGTGAGTTGTGCAAAGACGAGCATTCTTCGTTTGCGATGATTGTGACATGCACCTTTCTTTAAAAATAAGAATACGTCTCTGGTTTCAAATGAGAGAAAAAGAATACCGTTGATGAGGAGCGCTCCGACGAGGAGAAACATTCTAATAAACCGTTAGTCTACAACACATTGCATTTTCATGCGTCTTACGATATTTACTTCACTACTATGGATGATTCATTATAGAATTGAGCAAAACTATTGAGCTCAAATTTATACTACTTTGATGTCTGTTCCCTGAGAGGCATCCAACCAGAGATGGAACCGACACCGGTATGGATTTAAGATCGATCAGTCTAGCTTATTTACTTTCTTGTTTTTGTTATATAAATTTATGCAAAACTTTTGTTGGTTGTAATGATATCTCGTAGAAGACATGTAATAAAGTTTTGGTAAGAGTTGACTATATCAAATAACACTATTTAGAGATAGAATCGCTTCAGGTACAAATTTCAGACGGGTCGGTTCGGTCCAGTCTAGTTCACTTAGACCGGTACCAGTCGTCAAACATTCAGAACGATTTTATCTCTGCATCTAACTGTAAAAAAAGCAAGTCTTACTGTTAGTATTCCATTACCAAAAAAGCTTTCTGATGTCGATTCTCTCGATATTATATCTGTATCTCGAAATATTCATTATTTAGTTCAGAAAGATTGTATTATGCATTGAATTTTTATCATTGGAGGGCGCTCATTCGGACTATGGTTCACTAACTCTCCTGTTTCAACACGATAATAAATCCGGTCTCGAAGTTCTCAATCGTTCAACGGACACCTGGTATCCAGTTGAAGCTCGAGACGATATGATTGTGGTCAACTTCGGTGATGCCTTCGAATACTGGAGTAAGGGAATGATAAAGAGCACCGTTCATCGAGTTACTTTACCTGCCACAGATAAACAAAATGAAGCTCGATTTTCCATCGCCCACTTTTGTAATCCCAATGGAGAAACACTTCTCTCACCCATTCCGTCGAAATTGATCGAAGATCAAGTATATGAAAAGGATGAACATGCCAATCATGTTTTCAGCCATCATGAAAATAATGAACACATTTTGACGACCGGTGAACATTTGCAAATGAGACTGAAGCGGACTCATACGTATTGATTCCCTATTTCATTCATACTTACACAGCGAATTGTATTTACTAAAAATCGATTGTTTTTGCTACAATTTCGCTTCTCTTCTGTCTTATTTTCATCAACTATTAATAAGCAGTTTTTTCTTTTCATATTTTGTTTCATTCACCAGATGTTGAGCCAAAAGCACAACGTTACTGCCACTTCAGTCTGACCACAAAAAAAAATCAAACAATTGCTCATGAGTGTTCTTGCTACTCAATTGTAGAGCTGAAAAGTGTTTTGCTTCTAGTGGCAGTGACGTGTGGCTCAGATTATACAGATTCCTCAGTTGTCTATTATAATCGGTGCTGAGAAAACGGTATGATAATATTAAAAGCTCGATAAGGGTGGGGTGTGGGTGTGGCAGAGCTTGGCAAGTCAAGTTATATCCATTAGTAAGGAATTTTCGTCTATTTTAGACATTTTTTTAACCATGGAATAGAACTGTGAAGCTGTAAAAACGTTCTCTCATCTAAAAGATGCTAGCAAATTTTATGTTCTGATTATTTTTAACTAGACTTGGCTTGACTTGGAGGAAAAAATTTCGAGGTATGATTTGACTTGAAATTTTTTTTAATCACTTAACTGGGCTTGTGACTTAAAAACCTCTGACTTGTCCAGCTTTGGAGCGTGGGTGTGGGTGTCAATGAAGAGAAGATCGATATCCACACTCACACCCTTCGTAGGGTGTAGACGCGTTTGTTAGTGAACAGAAGACCTACGCCCACTCTTCCTCTCATATCGACACCGACACCCATAGGTTTTTAGACAAAGACTTTAGATTTGAAGATAGCTGGTTTTGAAATACTGGAAGCATATCCTGATGTAGTACTCCTTCGATATGAGTTAACCAAAAGCAAATGAGAAAATTCGAGCAATCGAGTCACCATAGGCAGGTTCTTTTTTCATAGGTTTGTGTGTCTAAAAAGTCATTAATCATCTCAAATCTTCTCTAGTACTAAATATACTACACAAACATGAAGATAGAATTTATTTGAATGTTCTTCTAATTCTTGTTCGAAATTCTTCTTTTCGGCGAAAAAAAGAATTATTGCTAACAAAATAGTGCGCTAGTATGGTTACGAACTGCAAAATAGAAATAATGGTGTATTTATTGTCGTTTAGGAGAACTTTGAATTACCTTTTTCTACTCTAATCATATTCTCCTTTCGTTTATTCTCTTGTAACTATATTCCTCTTTCGTTTACTGTACTCTAACCATATCCTCATTTCGCTTATTTTAATCTAATCATATCCTCTTTTTCATTTATTATACTCGAAAACCATGTCCTTCTTTTTGTTTGTCCTAAGTTAACCCTATCTATCCTGCCGAGAAGTGAAAATTACCATACACAACTCTAGTTAGATCTAATGAATTATAGCAATCTAATAAGAATTCATGTCTGAGCGATCTCCTCTGAATCATTCTGAAAGCATTCTATTTATAGATAATTTTCCAATAATGATGAATATATTTATCTAGTCTGTGTATATCTACTCTTTAAGAAGTTAGCAAGAATTATACTGGTGTTTCCTTCCTCTACAAGTTACTGTTTTTTTTATATATGAATGTGTAAAAAAAAGTGACTTGTAGAGGAGGGAAACACTAGTATAATTCTTGCTAACTTCTTAAAGAGTAGATATACACAGATTAGATAAATATATTCATCATTATTAGAAATTTATCGATAAATAGGACACTTTCAGAATGATTCAGAGGGGATTGCTCATATGTGTTCTTTTGTAACAATAATATGCCATTTAAACGCACCTTAGTAAAAAAAAGTATACATTCAAATGCATTTTTAGAAACGCGTTTTAGCCGATACATATCCGTTTCTATCACTAAAAGGATACGTTTCAATGCATTTTAAAAACTGCATTTAAAGTCTAGCGAAAACATGCAAACTAGAAAAAAACATGCTGAAGTGCAAATTTTTACAAATTTTTTTTCGTGGGTATTGCAAGAATTTTTTGAATTACTTTCGCATTTCTTCAACATAAATTTTCCTACCGATACTTCATTTTGTATTCAATAAAATCTCTCAATTTTTTCTTTCATGTTTACAGACACAAAGGATCACATGAACAACATCGGAACAATTTTTTCCTTCATTTAGACAAACCACAATGACAGCAAAAAATTCAACCATCAATACATAATAATTGTAAAAAACAATCAGAAAACTTAAATGCTCTTGTTCTTCTACCGTTTTTTCTTTAGAAGCACAGATTAATTTTTCAACAATATTTAACAATAAAAGGTGATCAATTAGTATGAACTCGATATACCGATGGTTTAAAAGAATATTCAGCATCTCATATAACTACAATGGCTATTCTTCATGAAATTACTGCTATTCTTTCATTTCCATTGATTTATTTATTTAACAATGTGGGATTATGTATTTCATTGTTTGAGACTATATTAGAACTTTTTATGTCAATGTTATTTCATAATGAGAACTAAGTAAATAATTTTGGCTTTTATATGTGACAGAATTGATTATAATCAAAAGTTTAATTGATTTTATTAGCAAGTTTGTTGTAACAAAAAAAAAAAAAATTATTTTTCATTTAAAGCTATTAAAAGCATTTATATTCTCTTTGACTGTCTCCTTTAATTAATTGAATAATAGTTGTTTCAAGTTATTTTTCATGTTTTTCTTTTAAATAAGTGTTTCACACAAATTTTGAGTGTAAAAAAAATTATCTTTTTTTCTTCTGTATCGAGCCATCTGTTTAGAATAAGCCATCTCTAAAAGAAAAATTAAATACAAAATAGAAAAATATCTAAACATAACTTGATAAAATCGAGTTTCGATCAACTGATTATTTATAAATCAAATATTAAACATATGTATCAAACATTCTATCCTCGTCAATTGCATCAAGATTATGAGTCCAATTAACAATTTTTTTCCGTTTTACTAAGAGAATGCAAATATTCTTATTAAATAAATGTTGAAAGTGTATATGTACTTACATTTATTTGAAATATTATTGAAAGTTTTTACAGCTTTTTGTTTAGCAACTCTATATTCAGACTCACTAAAAACAATGGATTAATTCATCAGAATAGAAGAAGATTTGTATTACCATTCGATAATTGAAATATGTTCATCATCTGCAGTAATATAACCAATTGATTCTAATTTAATATAATCATTTAATACCGGTAAACGATATAAACGTGTTTTAATATTCATATAATATTTAATTCACTTACATTGATATTTGGGATGCGGGTGGGTGTGGGTGTGGGTGTGGGTGTGGGTGTGGGCGCGAATATGGATGAAGAGAAGATCCACATCCATACTTTACACTCACACTGACATGCACACCCCACACCCGTACTCACACACACACCCACACCCTCAAATGGTTTGGGTAGTTGCTGATAGACGATATTATCAAGATATTTTCATACGCCCATGGCTTTATTTACTTCGAATGCTCATTGGAAATGATGATAAACAAAATGCCAACGGATAGTCATTATTGATTAAAGTTAATTCGAATTTTAAGGGTGAGTGTGGGTGTCGAGGTAATTGAGAGAAACTCTAACACACCCACGCCCACATCCATCTATTCCCACACCCTCATCCCCACCCACACGTATACATCCACATCCATACTCACAACCACACTCACATCCCACGTCCACCCGCACCCTCACACCCAAACCCACACCCACACCCACACCTATACACACACCCTCAATCTTTCTAAATGTTTGAATACATATTGCGTGTATTTTGAATTGTTGAAAAGAAATTTTTTCTAGATATTAGTTTATTTCTATCGAATCATTCGTGGCAAATCCCTAGGTATTTATCGTTTAAAAAAAATAAACGCATTAAATGTTCTGTTACGAGTTTTGTCTGTTTGGAAAAAACCCAGTATTGCGCACATAATAACATACTTTTACTTTCTGTCACTTCAATGTCAATTGAAAAACATTGTTGAATTGAAACTGCATCCAGTATTGAATAAAATGAATTCTTTTAAGCAGAAAAGAAAAAAAAAAGGTGACTGTCGTTCTTCTTTGCTATGCAAAAGAAAGGAAGTGGGGGAGAGTGGTCGTATTTTATTGCTTAATGGATGTTGACGATTGTTAACAATGGCGTTCTATTATTCAGCGTTGACTCATGGCATCGAATCTGATGTTTTTTATTTTTCTTCTAGTGAATAATCTCATTATAAAAATGTCTTGTGTCCTTGCTATGTGCGCAGTTGGAAATTTAATGAAAAGGAGATCTTCTTATGTTAATTTAAATTTAGATTACTTTTTAGATTTTTTTAATGTCGTGTGAAAGATTCTCTAATACTTATCTCGGTGAAGTTTTTTTATGTCCATTTTGTGATGAATATCTTCCAACATCAGATCATATGCGTGCTCATTTGGTGGTATGTGGCAGTAAAACGAATGAATGTCCTTTCTGCAATAAATATATCCTACGAACGATCTTAGCTTATCATGTAAATCATAATTGCCATAATCCAAATCTATTTGAAGAGGTGAGAGTTAATACTAAAGACAGAGAAAAAATCACAATGTCAGCAAAGAAACAGATTTTAGTGAAATTTTTCTTGTAGGAAAGAGAAACAAGTGCACATATTCATCATTCAAATAGTCATATCAATTCCACCAGTCAACACACACCTGATATAGATGCTTCTTCAGATCGAGTGGAATCAAAGACTCTGAAGAAATTTCAACCTTTACTTGAGACAGCAGCGCACGTACAGGAAACTTTAGCTGAATATTATTATCAACCTGAAGTAAATCATGTCGCAGAAAAAGTTCAATTTAATATTATTATAATGGGTTCACCGCGTGTGGGTAAAAGTGCCCTTATTAATGCATTATGCAATGGGAAGAATCGAGCAGAAACCAGTTCGAGTCTTAATTCATGTACTAAAGAAGTTACATGTTATGTTTTGGAGGACAATCAACAACAAACTCCAAACGTAAAACCATTTAAAATCAATTTTTACGACACACCTGGTATTGAATCATGGAAAGATGGGTTTGGACACGACACTATGATAAAAATTATCGAAGAAACAAATCCACTCTGCTTTATTTTTTGTGCATCACCAGGAACATTTGCTGATTTAAAGCAACTTAGACCAGTACTCCTCTATTGTAAAACAAACGGTATCTTTTGTGCTCTTGTTTGTACGAATATGTGGTCTGGAAATAGTCGCCATATGGTCATTAATGAATTTGAAAAACAACTTCAGTTCTTCGGTAACAAAATTGAAAAGTTTTCTGAACAGTCGGATTCTTCAAATCCTCATAAACTTACTTGTTTTGGCAAAGGCGCTCTTTGTACTATGGTCAATTCTGTTGAATATTACGATCCAGATTTTTCCGATCAACGAAAACCTGTACAAGGTATCGATGAACTCATCCATGGTATAATGGAAGCTCTCGATCACGAAAAACTACTTGGTTGGTGTTATGCTGTACTCTATCGACGTACTTATTGGGAAAAGATTAGTCAACAAATTAGTGGTTTCTTCTCGATGCGTTTGAAGAATTTATATCAACTATTAGTTCCATCACCCGACAAAACTGCGACAAATTTTCTAACTTATTTAAATGAATTGATTTTTCGAAAAACAAATTAACAAAAGAACCTCTTCTGTTTTTATTTTACTTTTAGATAATATATTTTCCATCAGGAAACATGCCCAAAGAATTTACTATTGCTGTTTGTGGTTCGGCTCGTGTTGGCAAAAGTACACTTGTTAATGCTCTTTGTGGAAAACAAGTAGCTAGGACAAGCAATAGTTTGTGTTCATATACCGATAAAATCCAAAAATATGTCATAAAGAGAAATGATATATTAGCCAATGATAATGCAAGTTCAATGGAATATTCTATTACAATCTATGATACTCCAGGTATTGAATCGTGGACTGAACAGCATGTTCAATCTTATTTTTCAAAAATCATGGAACAAAGTAAACCACTATGCATGATTTATTGTGCATCACCTGGATCATTTGCTCGACTTGATCAACTACAATGGCTTATTGATAATTGCATTAAATCGAACATCTTTTGTGCTTTTGTTTGTACTAACAAATATTCAGGAGGAACTGAAAGACGTGCACAAGTTTTAAAAGATTTTCATTCACTTCTCACTGGTTATCATGGTATGACACGAGATGAAGGTAATATTAAGTATTATGGTAATGTTGCTTTATGCACTGCAGTAAACAGTATTGTTTATGAAGATAGAGAATTTGGCGTGAGAAAAGAAGTTGAAGGTATAAATGAACTCATTTTTGGAATTTTAACTTCATTAAAAGACGATAAAATCGTTGGATGGTGTTATACTGTTGCTGATAATCAATCATTTTGGGTAACTATGCAATCGCAGCTGATCAAATTCTTTGAAATATCACAACAGGCTGTAACGAAATTTTTTAATGAACGTGGCAAAGATATTGTGGAAAGTGTAATACCACTTATTCTATCTGTACTCAAGCGCTAGTTATAAAAACATTTTCTCAATTCAATTCGAAATTTTTTTTTCTATTTCTTTCACATTTGTTTTATTTTTCTTTATTCACCTTTAGTGAATTAAATCACATTAATGTAACCTTCTTTTTATGATACTAATATTATCTTTTATTTTGTTGATAACCACCATTATCGTCTATTTTAAAAATAAGAAGATTTCTTTTTTCGTCATAAATTTTTTCTTAAATCAACATCGTCAAAAAACTCAATCCACTCTTTTGTGTTAATTTCTAAAAAAACAAAAACGTTGATGACAAATAATCTGAAACAATCGAATATTCTTCTTTGTGGATCATCGCAAATTGGTAAAAGTATTCTGATCAATATAATTTGTCAATAAAAGCTGACCAAGTCAAATGCAAGTTTGAATTCATTAACAAAAAAAAGTTGATCGATATTCATATGAATGTTCAAACGGACAAATAACTCATGAAACTATCATGTGAGATACACCTGGAATTGAATCATGGAATGAAAATGATGTTCACAATTATATGTCATCATTGATTGAACAAACTCAAACATTATATATGATATATTGTGCTTCACCAGGCTTCTTCGCTGTATTAGATCATGTGGCGTGGTTAGTTTCGGAATGTTATCGTAAAAATATCTTTTGTGCCCTTATTTGGACGAATATGTGGGCTGAAAGAAAGCAACACAAGATTTTTAATGAGTTCTGCAGAGTTTTGAGTAGTGTTCGTCCAAATGTTCAGACAAATAAAGAAGGTAATATCATTTATTATGATCATGTTGCTCTTGTAACGATGGTCAACAGTCAAGAATATATTGATAGAGATTTTGATGTACGAAGGCACCATCCAGTGTTGAAGAACTGATCTTTTATATTGCTAAATCTCTTAATCAAGAACTAATATTTGCATGGTTTCGTACCGTTTCTCAGAATTCATCTTTTTGGTCAAAAAATATCATTGAAATTGGATCATCTATTTGAAATGCCAACCGAAACTTTTAATTCATTATATGAACAAGCTGCGAGTGTTTTCAACTTTCTATTTGATTTATCTAATTTTTCAACTGAACACATCTTGACAGAAACTCCTGACGATACATCATTTACAACAAAGGATACGGCTACTTCTTATTTGAATAATTGTATAGAGACAATACATTTTTTATTGTTATTTTAGGATGAATATTTATTTCATGATGCAGATATTATTAGCATTCCTAAACAAACATACTGCAAGAAATTAATATTCACGTTCAAATCAGAAGGTGAAGCGTGTATAATATTATCAAAGACTCGTCCTATCCATTTATATTTAGGTACAAAAATTATATCTAAACTTAATCAAATTTTGTCAAGGTTCGGCGCAAAAATTTTCAAAACTACTGAGCTACAAAGAGGTCATGAGCAGCTATTTATAGTAACTACTAAGTAAGTGAAAGTTTACAACTTATAAAGAAAACATGTTTTTTTTTTACTCTCTCATAGGGTCTGTTTTCACAAATTGATAGTTTTAGCAAAAAAATGATGTAAAAATCTACGAATTATTTGAAATACGTTTCTTATCAGTCTTTCAATTTCTTTCTTGTGTTTAGTTTGAAAATGTCGAATACATCGAAGCCATACACAATCTATGGCAATTGGCGAATACTTCCAAAGTCAACTGTACAATTGTGGTCGAATTATGTATTAACTCTCAGATATCGATTCCGTCTAAACAAATTACTTATTTTGTATTTAGAAAATTTTTATAATTGAAATATAAGAAATTATCTCAACATATGATCCAAAATGCATTGATCATACATGTCTTGAGTGTGGGTGTGGTGTCAGAGTTAATATGCTGATAAGTATTTTCTCTGTGCACCGATATCTACACTCTCAAGCGATGTTACTTGTGGAATCGCTTGAAGGAGTTAGACCAATCTCTAACAAACAAACATTACTGTAAGCTGTTATTTCGAAAATTTTAATATCTGTATTAGTTTATTTCTCAACATTCAAAACTTAAATAGTGAATGTGCCTTGATTGACTCTACACATCCATACAATCAATATAAATAGAAGTTCGAACTACTTCTCTATTGTGCATATTTTAATAGCATCAATATTATAGATGTGTAAAGTTCACCTATGCTTTCCAAATTCATCAAATTCCAATTGTATGTTCATCCATTAAGGACATATATTAAAAATATGTGTTTATCATATTTCAATTACCTGTCTTATTCATCGTATTTTTTCACATAAACAGGCACGAAAATAACTAAATAGAATAGAAACTAATCAATACGTGACAGCTGACAAGACTTTAATTCCTACATCTTTAAAATAGTATTTTCAGAGAATCTTGAACAACTTTGACAAAAAAATCTTTGACGGCCGTACATCTACAATATTAATGGTAGTAAAATATTCAAAGTATCGACGTCGTTAGGACTTCTGTTCATGTTGATTGTGTGAATATATACAGTTTATTAAGGCGTACTCATTGTTAAATTTTTGAATGCTACAAAATAAATTAACACAAAAATTAAAATTTCCAAAATAACAACTTACAATAATTCTTCTTTAATAGAGAATGACATAACGCCTTCAAGATAGTATATGAGAAAGAACGCTTTACGCCACTGAGATCAACCCATGAAATTCTAAAAGCTAGCATAAAACCGATCGAAAATGCAGCCTCACATTCGAAGACTGTTCTTCATAAGTTTGTAAACCTTCCACTTCAATTTTGAGTAGTCATTGCTCCTATGGGATCAAAAAACGCATCAAATTTGATTCCACTAGCGTCAGAAATAGTATCATTGTTTATATTTGAAAGAATATTTGTCTTAGAAAAACTTTAATAAACAAATAAATGAAAACTACGTATGAAAAACTAATTAACATAGAAAAATATTACTAACTTTGTTTGGCAATCGAATAGACTAGTCTATACATAGCGCTAAATCAGTCATAGGATAAATAAAAATATTACATTATTGGTGACGTTTGATCAACTTAGTAATCTATCGCCTTGAAAATGTATATTTAATCCATTAACTAGTTAATTTTTCTTCAAATATTTTTTCTACTATATAAATAAGGAAATCATGTATTCAAAAGAATAAGTTCAAATTTGATTTCTCGTAAGTAGTAATCGTTAAACTTCAATTTTTGTATTTGTTTCTATCGAAACAATAGCTAGTTGTTTTTGAAAAATTTTAGTCATATGTAAAGCGTATTATTTATGCAATTGTTCAAGGAAAAATTGTTTGTACATTTGAACTTATTTATTATAATAAGTAGCTTTTTTTTCAATGTCTGCTAGTAAACGGCTTATATACCTAACTCTTTTTCTTTCTGTTGACATTTCCTCCACTAGTCACTTCGATTTTACCACTTATTTAGAATGCATACCATCTCAAAAAAATATACTTTTATAATAAAATTTGCGGTTTTCCTGAGATTCTCTGTTTTTACCTAGCTGTTTACAGAACTAAATTACAAAAAGACGCATTTCTTTATTAGTTTAATAATAGGAATACGTAGCAACACTTGTAAAATATGATGTAAGTTTGATAACTCCAAGAGACTTTTAAGTGTGAAAAAAAATAAATATGCATCTGAAAGTGATTGTAAGTAATTTTAGTAAGTTTCATGATTTCAGAGTATATTAGACATTAATGAAATTATCCTGCTAATGCATGAAAGGTGGGGATGGGTGTAAGTGTAGATGCAGAAGTATTTGGATCCATGTCTACACCCTCGTCTACCATGATCGAATACGCAGTCAAAACGACAGTATCGATCTATCAGTAAAGAGTAAGAAAAATCACTTTTCTTCTGAACTGATTTTTTTGTCTTTTTAGCTCAAAATCATTTTCGATTGAACAGTATCTTATACGCATTCGTCAACACCGACTAGATGTGTCGTCAATGTGACATTTATTGTTTTCTTCTTATCTTTAATTCAAAGCAAAATGACGATAGATACATTTTTTTGATAAGTTCTATTCCATGTTGTTTTCATACGACATGATTCACTTTCTCAGCAGTTTTGATGAATTCTTCAATGTTTGAGAAATGAATATCAGCAAAATATTTCTTTCTTTGTCGTTCGACTTTTTCCATTGGTACTGCACTTGCTCCAGTAGCATTCCATAGATCCATAAAAGCAAGCCATAATTCAGTCGGATCTTTATCATGTAAATGTTTAGTACGATCTTGTTCTAATTCTTCAAGTGTTTTATATGTAATTTTTAATTTTTTATCAGGATAAATCTTTTCGATGAGTTTCACTACTTTATTCCAAGTTGTTGTTTCACCAGCAATGTAAGTATATTTTTCCCATTCTATATCTGATGTTGCAAGACGAGCTAAAGCTTTTCCTGTATCACGAGCTGATGTAAAGGTAACTGGTTCTTCACCAGTACCAGGAATTCGAATCGTTTCCTTTTCAAGATCTAATGGCCATACAGGTAAAATACGTTTCATATAAGATCGATCAGCAGAAATAAAATAATCCATAAACCATCCTTGATTGAATAATGTATATTCAATTTCATTCTGTTCTTCTAACAATTTACGTATTGCACCATGTGTAGGTACGTAAAACTCAGGATGTTGTGGAAATCTTTCGATGTCACCTCCACATTCGGATGGAATGAATCGTTTACATCGTGATGATGCTTTACAAGCAGCAATCATAGCTTCATGAGCATCATTGTAAAATCGTTCATTGGAATGAACTAAAGAAATGAGAACATCAACGTCAGTAAGATGTTTTGTCAATGATGTAATTGAATAATCAGTAATACGAAATATAGTGTTTGGCTGCTGATTGAACCAAGGACGATTTTCTCGACTTAATAAAACAATTTTTACAGGTCGAGTAGATGAATTAAGTGCATTAAGTTCTTCCACCACATATTTGGCTACATCTCCAAGTCCAGCAACAGCAATTATTAGCATAATGTATGAATATTACAATATAAAGTATAATGGTAAGTGTATTATATGTATTTTTTTATATAGGGTGTGATGAATGACAAGAATGCATGCAAAATGCATTGTCATTATGAATCATATGTGCGAGCGAACGAACGAACGAACGAATAATACATTCAACATCATTCTTTCTTTAGTTACATAATATGCACAGAGGTATGAAACCTGGTCCTTCATAACGAATAGAAAATACGTGTACATGCATCAGTATATGACGATGCAAATTGATAGCTGTTTGCTTTGGATATTTATTCAGAGTAAAAGACAATTTAATTTCTATTTTTTCTATAATAATAATAATAATAATAATGTCTTAATCAGATGGTTGTTTAATTTGTTAATCGAAAAATAAAACGATGTTGAGAGGTGTACAATTTTAACGAATTATATTCAATAACTTCAGACATTTGATTGTTCACACTATGTTCAAGTTTTATGAACAAATGCTGTAGAAACCTTAGTACACGTACTAATCTCAGATATTTGAAAAAAGAAAGAGTTGTTCACAGAATCTACGATCCTCTTCGAAGACAGTCAGCCTGGCAGCACTATCAAGGTCACACCTACCATCATTGGTCATTCTTCAGCAGATTATTTCAATTTATTTATCGGGTATTTCGTATTCTCGTCGAGCTATTTGAAGACAAAACTTCATTGCTCGAGTTTGGAACCTTTTTTGGCAACGTTCGCATGTCATCGTACATGGTTAGAGCTTCTTGTCCATCGAGTAAAGCCTCATGGATTTGTAAGAAAGCGAATTCGAATAGAAACTTCAGTGAAAGATAGTCTCCGATTCGTTCGATTGTCACTTGATAGTTCTTACTCGTGGTCAACGATGCTGACACACAAGCCTTGAGAATCCTATGTATATTCCGTTGAAATGATGTTGCCATTGATTCGAATTCCTTCAAACTCTTATATTAGGATAGTTGCTTACTGGCTAGTTTCACTCGACTGACAACCAGAGTGTGAGAGTGGGTATGTCGTTAGGTGAATGGGTGGGTGTGGATGTAAAGAGAAGATACACACTCACACCCATCCTCAAAAAATAATAAAAAAATCATTGCAAAAAAATGATTCAACAAACACACTGTCACCCTGAACTCCATGCTAAAGCGCCATGAATACCATAAACATTATGAATCATCCGGTATTTATTTACTTTTGACATTGATGATTGTTCTGTTCTGTGCCATATTTATTTTCTGGAGATCGATGAATCCATAAACGTGGGCATTAACAAAGAGTGTTGTTTTACATTTATAAGTTTCTTTTCTCTTCAATATTTTTCATCGTGAATCACCTTCTATCAGAAAGAAAGAAAACAAATGATGAATGCAAATGGAAACATGAGAGTTCGTTCGACATATTTTTTTACGCCTTCGTAATATTCTTATCAATCATAGCAAAACAGTCATTTTATTGACAGAAAAAAGAGAGAAAAGGTCATATCGTTACTCTTATCGCGCAATATATAAACTGCATGACTATGAGTACAAGCAACAGTGAGTAGTATCTTTAATCTAGAAATAACATCAGTGACCAGAGTCACTCACTTAAAACTTGCATTAGTTGATTCGTTTATCTTAACCAGCAACATTCTTCTCAATTGGACGACATCCAAAAAAAAAAGCTATTTTACTATACAAATAAGCTTTGACCAATACAAGATTGAGAAGACATTGTCGAATCAAGTTGATCGATCGGAAAAAAAAACTCTTTTAAATATTGAATTAACAGGTAAAAAAACTCAAATTGCACTATGACAACTCACAGCAGAATAGAGTAACCCGCTGAAATTTTCACAAAACAAATTCTCGAATAAACTGCACTCGAAATCTAAACCCAATCACTATACACAATCTGATATTGAACGACTTAGAAACCTACTTGAAGACTGTGATAGGGAATAAACAGAATCAAATTAGTTTTAGGTTATTCATCATTTCTTCATCTAATCAAAATCCAAAGAAGCACCTATGGTTTTAAAAGGAACTGCTGCTGATTTATCGAAAAAGTCAAATAGTTCTATTGAAGAAGGACTGAAAGGAAATATTGAATCAGGTGCCTCATCAGCAAACAATGATTTTTCGACAAACAAGTCAAGATTATCCTCCCACATAGCCGCAGATTCATCATCACAAATGTGCTCATATCCAGTTATCGCGTTTGGTCTTAATCGTTCCACTGATCCGAACATATTACAGCTGTTCGAACATTTGATGTCTCTTGCTCCTATGGAGAAAAATGGACCAATGAGTGGCAACTGCGATTTTGAAACAACGCAAATGGAAATTTTTTTTTCCCAAACATTCGGTTTTCAAAATCTTCCTGGACAATATATCGTACAAGGAGTCAAAGCATTTCAATTAAGTCAATCGATAAATTCAATGGATCCTAAGACGATAATACATTTTCCAACTAACACTCCGACTACGTCATTTGCAATGACCGTGCAAGAAATCATCGATTGGTAACAATCATATAGAGTTTATGCTGACAAAACTATTAAGGGTATGAATAAAGAATTTCTTCTGCGAGCGTTGCAAGGACAGAGTGAATATGGAGAAGAAGCATTTCGTATGAAATTTGTTGTCCGTATTTCACAATGTCCTATCTTGATGGAATTCGATGCTTGTATAATACCTCGTGCATCTCAAGACAAATGGTCACATCGAATTAAATTAGTTTCAGTAACTGGTATTGATTTTGCTGGACGATTCCATGATATAAATGATATTCTTACTTATGTCACAAACTGGCAAGATGTTTATGAAACCAATCCAAAATCTGGTTTGCTACTAGTTCATAATACCAGAGATTTTCGTCGGAAAACCAATGGTCCACGAGGAAAACTAGATATGGATCGCCTTCGAAATGATTTAATGCGTATGGCAAGACTTCGACTACGAGCATGTGATGATGAAGAAGTGCAAGTTGTAGTCGAAACAGGTATTGGACTTGGTGTATTTGCTGGTAAAGCTATCGGAATTGATGAAACAGTACGAGCACTTTCTGCATTTGCTATTCGAAAAGTACTTGAAGAAGATGGATCAACCTACCGAAACATACGTGCCGTCGTGTTTGCTCTACCAATTTTTGATGCAGGTTATCGAAATGATAAAAGACAAGATACATATCAAGCCTTTGCTGATGAATTTAATCGAAATAATTACCAAGGTCCTATTCCTGTCTTAATTGCTGATCAAGATATGCATCGATTAACTGTAGCTATTGCTCGTATGGGTTTCAATGTTTCTGAGTTGAATCCTGCTGATTCACATGGCGTATTTGGTGAATATTGGCAAAATCGAGGACCAGCTGTGGAAGAAAAATTAGCTTTAACTACAGTGGGTCTACTTGTACAACATCATCTTGTTAATCCATGTGTACTAGATCCAAACCATTACAATTTTATTTAACTAAAGACATAAAGAACAGTTTTACATTTCAATACTGTAGATAAAAATGATAGGACAAGTAAAAGTTATTGTCTTTGTCAATCATTGCTTTTGTGGCTCTAAAAGTTTCTGTACAAGTGCTGTGATCGATAACGGAAACGGCTGATCCAGTGCAGTCTTGTAGAGCATTCTTTGCTGGCTGGTGTAGACTACTTTTTCTTTAGCTATCAATGCCAGTTTTTCTGAACTCTTTGCATTTCTTTTTCAAAAGATGAATCTAAAGAGTGTTTCTTTCTCGCAAATCAAACATTTTTCACTGATTTTATCAATTCACATTGATGTCAAGTGATGTTATCTAAACAAAATCGAATAATTAACGCTCTTGATACATTAGATGATTCGAGGTTTTCTATATTCTGTCGTATCATTTCATATTTTATAAGGAGAGGTCTTCTAATAAGTCTCTAAAAAAAGTGATCTTTTTTTTAGTACGCTCGCCAATAATTCTTAGTTTCAATTCATTTTTTGTTCAATATATCGTTAGTGAACAAGTCTATTTCACTTATTCCGCACGTATAGAATGAAAAAGAAACCGATAATACCCTATGACAAAAAAAAGAAGAAAACTGGAAAAAAAGAAAATTCATTTTTATTATTATGAAAATTTTTAAAGTCAGTTGCTTCTATCAAGGTTTGAATAGTTTAATTTGAATTTGTTCTCAGTGAAATATATCATTAGTATAGTTATTAGTTTTAAGTTAACTTCAATAAGTATGGTTGTTTACAAAGAAACAGTTTGAAGCAAAATAGCATTTGAGCACAGATTCAGTTTGTTTTCTTTTGTGTGCTTTGAAAAGTATCTTTAGATCCTTTCGTGAAAAGAAGAACGTTCTCAAGCTCAGAATGAATACTTCACAGGACAAACCTCGACGTGTATACCTGGAGATATGTTCCCTCCAATTATGAATGCAATACTTTGTGATAAAAACGTTTCTGAATTTCTAGTAGAAAGTGCAAAGGCGAAGAAGTCTTTTAATTAATTATTTTTCATTATATCATTTTTCGATCTTTACAACTGGCAATGTCCATCACTATTTTTAAGAATAGACTTACTTTTATTATCGTTGCTTTTAACTTTACTATGAACATGCTTGTAATTCATATAAAAAATAATTTCGAAAATGCTTTCAAAGAGTATTTTTTTTATCCTAAACTGTCAATGAGATTTTATGGCAAGCAGTGAAAAATGAGTACTATCACTTTTGCAGAGAACATCAAATAGTCACCGTCGACATGTTCGTGATAACATGGAGTGTGGGTATGATTGTCGCTGCGACTATGGGTAACGAAGAAGAATAGAAATACTAACATCTACATCTATACCTTACAAACATCTAGGCTTAATAGTCCTATATTATCGTCTTGTCATTCCCTGGTACTGTTAGAAAAAAGAAAATAGTAAAACATAAAATTTTATATCTTAATGTACAAGTAAATGAACTGATGAATAAGATAGTAGTTCATCGAAAACACTTTCTTATATGAAATTAATAAATAAATATTAATTCACAATTAATTTTTATAATTTAACTTAATCAAGTATTTTTATAGAGTAATGAAGATTCTTTCTAACATATTAATAAATATAACACATCAGAATATTCTTATTCTTATTTTTCTTACTCTGAGAAAAATTTTGCATCATGTATAGGTATTTTGATGTGTCATAGAGTTTTTTCCCAGTCGTTCATACAACATAAAAGCAACGAACATTTCATCAAAGAAGTTCATTTTCTTATAATTTCTTATTTCATAATACAATACAAATGTTGTCCATTAATTTTCTTATTAAAATCTTCCTGAATATATGGTATATTATTCGATAATATTTCGTGTATCAATCATATGGTAAACAACCAATACCATTAAGTGTTAATTATCATTTAACTCGTGCATGTAATTATAGATGTAAATTTTGTTTTCATACATATCTCACTAATGATCGTCTTCCATTAGATGAAGCTAAACGTGGTATATATTTATTACAACAAGCTTGTACAAAAAAAAAAAAATTTCTGGTGGTGAACCATTTTTAATCGCTCATGGACGTTACGTTGATAAATTAAAACGTTTTTCTAAAGAAACATGTCATATGGTAACAAGTATTGTTTCAAATGGAAGTTTAATATCAGAAAAATGGTTTAAAATCTATTCAAAATATTTAGATATATTTGCTATATCATGTGATTCATTTGATGATGAATATAATCGACAAGCTGGACGAACAAATGGTTATGAAAATCATTCACAAATTTTACATGTACGTCGTGTAAGACATTTATGTCAACAATATGGTATTATATTTAAAATAAATTCTGTTATACATGCACTTAATTATCATGAAGATATGACATATGCAATTGAAGAATTTGAACCAATACGATTGAAAGTTCTTGAATGTTTACTTATTAATGAAGAGAATGCAGGTGGAGAAAAAGAATTACGTGATGCATGAAAATTAATTATAACTGATGAACAATTTTAAGAATTTTGTCAACATCATCAACATTTAAAATGTTTTGTATCAGAATCAAATATAGCTATGAGAAATTCATATTTGATACTTGATGAACATATGCGATTTCTTGATTGTAGAAATGGACGTAAAGATCTATCACCATCTATACTTGATGTTGGTGTTGAAGCAGCATTAAATCGAAGTGGTTTTGATGAAGAAGTGTTTTTTAAACGTGATGGTCAATATAAATGGACAAAAGATATTATAGATTTAAATGATTGGTAATCATTCTCATTATGATCTCTATTATTAATCAAGAATTGATCCTGTTTATTAGAAAATAAACATTAAAAAAAAACGGTGTGTTGTAAATAAAATACGCTAACTTCAAGTAATGAAATAAATTTTTTGTTCTTTTCACTGTAAATATCCATATTCAAAGAAACTCTATTAAATGATATATTTCATAGTGATGGTTCGAGAGACAGTCGGAAGCATTACAATTTTCTCCCACAGAACGCAAGAAATTTTTTTTGATTCTGCTGGGAAAAAACAACAAATTTTGTATGACTGCGAATGTATGTTGCACCTTCTTGGTCGGTTTATGATTAACATTTCATCATAACATGGGTAGTAATTCATAAAAATAAAAATGTTACATGCATACGAACAAACATTAAGAGAATGCAGAAGTTTCTTTTTTTTGCTATTATAAAATAAGAATCGAGATTACTCCTAATCTTTGAGACTGAAGGCGAATAGAATCATCAAACAATACGATGAAGATCTTATTGTTTATTATTTGAGTTTCTAATTTTTTTTTTTACATTTTCCTTTAATTCATTATCCTTATGTTTTCGATGTCTCTTAAGTTGTTTAACCGATCGTATTGGTAATTTCACGTTTATTTAAATTCATTGAACTAACAAATTAATTATGTTTTTCCGTCACTTAATTTAATAACAAATGATCTAAAACAAAAATCATATATTCCTATTGTCGAATAATTTCTTAATAACTTACGAAGGAAAATCAGGTACATTAGAAAGAAAATATTCAAATATTTCAGCAGTTATTTTTTTATCAGCACGAAGATCAACTTCATTAATAACCTAAAATTTCAAAAATATAAAATCAAAAATTTTCTTTTTCCCCAACATGAACATACTGCTTCGGCAATTTTTGTTAAATCTACATCATTAAATTGTTTTCCTGATAAACGATCAATAATTTCTTTTATATCATATAAATCAATTGCGTCTGAAGTTGCTACTTCATTTTCTTAATAATAAAACGAAAAAAAAGATCAATTAAATTAATCAATAAATTTAATATTAATTTCTTACCTGGTCGATGTTTTGTATTAATTCCCTCTGAAAATAAAATATTAGATAAATTGAAACAAAACAAAAAAAAAAGAATGTTAAATAAATATTTACGATAAATTTTGAATGCATAAGAAACTTTAACAGATTTTGGTGCATGCTCAGAAAAAACACTCATCATATCAAGAAAATCTTCAAATGATAATGAATCATCACGATGAGAAGAAAATACTTCAACAATTCGTTCACGAAATGGATTTTCCTATATAAATACAAAAAAAAAAACTGAAATATTAAGCATAAATTTTTTATCATTTGAAAATTATCTTACACGAAGTTCAGCAAGTTTCGTAGCTTGTTTTTTCGATAAACGTCGTTCAAAAATTCCTTCATGTCGATTACTTGTTGATGTAACTTGAATAAATCTTTTGAGAACTCTAGAGAATAAGAAAATTAATGAAATGAAAAAAAAACAACAAAGGTTTATATCATACTGCAAAATTTCCTGACGACTTAAAAATGTTAATGTCTATTGAAAAAAAAAAAGGTGAAACTTTTTACATTTATAAATTTCGTTCAAATCTACTTGATAATCATGTAAATCTTCATCGCTTAAAAGCGATTGTTTGCCACCCATATTTCTCTTATCAGATAGGCAATATATGAAAGTCAGAAATAAAGTTTTAAGTATCTGCAAACATAAAACATGGTTGGTTGTTTTTAATTCTCTTATCATAACAAATAACAATATCAAACATAAAGCGACAATAATTTAAGTTTTTAGTATAAAACTGCATATTCTATTTATGAATCTCAACTAAGTCCTGAGACTAGAAATAATGAATGATACATTATTGAAAGTAAAACATGTGATATGATATGAAAATAATGTTTATTTTTTCTTTGTATAAACGAATAAGTAAAGGTTAACTTTTGTCAATATGATCGTCTGTTATTAACCAAAAAAAAAAGCCTTTCGAAACAAAGATAAGGTCGTAGTTAGTGGTCACTCTAAAATGTTCTTATTTTGTTTGAATGAAAAATTTCTTAAGCAATATAAAGGCAAGTGTGTTTTTTTTGATGATGAATTTCTTCGCATTCAATTCGTAAATATTGATATACAACTTTCAAGCAGTATTTATATGAAAAAGTGTTGTAATGAAGACGATGAAACACTTCAATTGGAATATACCATTTGTTTTTAATGGAAAAATGATTTAAAACAAAAAGATGTACGTATTCGATCAAGTACATTTTTAAAATATGATTTAATAAAAAGTTTCATATTAACTTATTTTCTATTTATCATACAATAAATTTGGATTTGACATAATTTTGAAAATTCATATATTATTAGATCCATTGAGCCTACAAGGACGCCTTGGTAGAACTAGCCAAAGTCTAAAAGAGTTTGTTCTCATAGGTTTTTGGAGTCGAATTGCGACCAACGCCCTGATCAAAAAATACACAATATGCTAGTCCTAATCCATAGCTTCTAATTTCTCGGAAACACTTTTAAGGAAACCAAAAATAAACAAATATTTTGTCTCAAAACTTTCTACCTAACCGTTAGTTGTTTTTTGTCTGTATATGGCAATAATATGTATATATACAGTTCTGAATATAATTTGCTCAATCTGAAATTTTCGACTTTTTTATTACTCAGTACAGTTATCATCAGCACTAACGTCGTCACTTGTGACCTTAGCTTTCTATTTATTATAAAGCAAACACAAACAGTTAGAAATCAAACTATAACAACAAGAAATCGATATTAATCTATAAAATAATTCATAAACATAAATATTTACATGTATCAATTAATTCTTACTAAGGTATAAATTTTAGTGCTTATGATGACTTTTCGGAATAGAAAAAGAAAGAGGTTAAGAATGCTAGAATGATTGTAAAATTATATTAAATAGCATTATTATGATTAATTATTTAACATTATATTGTTATTATTCAAGCTTTCTTTCCAACAGTAATAATATTATGTAGATGACTGTCTGATGAAGTTCTTCTCATAATAGATCTAATATAAATACGTATGACTTATTTATTAGTTTATTGGATCAGTCAATAAGGTATTATTCATTAAAATAGACTTTTCAATTATCTGTTTACATCAAACGATAAAAATAGATATCGTGATGTTTAATATGAAGTTCGATTGTTTCAATCAAGACTTCATATATCTTTCTTATGTTCATCAATAGATCTCGAATGGCGTGTCTGGATCATTACTTCATTTGACATCGGAAGACTAAGTCATGAAAAACTAGAGTAGTATGAAGTAAACGCCTACATTTGTATAGAATCATTATTGATCATAAGACGAGGATACACTGTTGTCAAATTGAGTCAAAAAAATAATCGAAATCAAGATTAGAAGACGAAAAAAACTTTCAAAGAAACTATGATAAAACAATTAATGATGCTAACTATAATTATATGAATATTCAAATTTGTAACTAAAAATAATTTTTCATTGAAAATATCATCAGGACGAAATCAAATGAAAATTGATGATGATACTATGGATAACAGGTGAAGAATATCCTTTCGTATTTTTCTTAAAGAAGAAAAAGATTGAATAATACCTCATCCGTCTTGTTTATCTAAAGTTGGTCTTTCAGTGTCCGGATCGGATCACGAAAAAAATTTTGAATTTCGGAGATGGATCTACAGTCTAAATACTTTGTAGATACAAAAGGCATTTTGAATGTTGTTGTTTTTCATTAAAAAGTTCTATAAGAGAAGATGGAAAAGCTTAGTAGAACAAGAAATTATGTGTCATACGATCTTTTTTTTATTAATATCGGACAAGGATCCATAGCGAGTGTATTGTCTCTTCAATGGTAATATCAAGATTGCAGGTTATATACATAAGAAAAGAAAAACAACCAAGGAAAAATTCTATCATATAATCTTATTGTCCCAACTGCGAAATACAAAGGACATATCCTTTGTTTCCAACTACGAAATCGAACTATCGTGAGCTTTGATTATACAATAAAATCTCTCTAATGTAGGTACTCTCGAGACCGGCCAAAAGTGGCTACTTTACGGAAGTGTACTTTTTCTTCTTTCCAACAATAAATTAATTCAACTTTTTTAATCAGTGGTAAATCAACTCGTGTTAACACAAAACCAACGACATGTTAAGCCAAGCACTGGTGTTGTTTTCTAATATTAATTTTTTTTTTAAATATGCATGGATAGTCTATTCCCTTTTTATATGTGTCCCATGATTGTTTATATCATATAACGTAATAGACATAAAATTATTCTTATCTCGTCCTGCACGTAAGTCGTAGTAAAATATTGCTCACATTATAGAGATTGTTATTACTTATGACATCAGAAATAGATGCCCAGTGCACAAAATAAGGAGATGCTCACATAAGAAAGTTTTATTGTAAATAAATGGTTACAATGTCTTTATTTTTATGAATTACTTAAGTGACTATTCTGTGTCTCATTAAAAATAAGACTATTTAGATTGAATTCTTTCAAGTTATAATTAAATATTGTTTGTCATAAATTGAATTAATAATATCATTTGATTGGTAATGACAAGTATTCAATAAGCATCGTATAATCATGCACGAGAACATTAAGAATAAAACGAGAGGAATAGCAAAAACTCTTGAAGACTCCTGAGTTTTAAAAATCATTTGAAATCTTTTAAGAATTTCTCAAGTTTTGAAGTCGCAGTTTTCTAAAATCATTAATCAATTATCAATTATTCAATAAAAATGAAAAAAAAAATTTCATTCTCAATCATTATTTCAAGTATAACAGAAATTAATAAGAAAATAATTGAAAATTTGTATGAAATTTATTTATAGTCTTCATTGAAATTCGATAAGATGTTTACATGTGAGGAAAATACTTAATGTTTAATGACACTGAAGTTAAAACACAATATTTTTAATATCTAATCCAAAAATGTCTTTTTTTTTGTTGTCATATTAGCTGATTTTTTAATTAGTCTCTTATTTCAATCTTTTTTTACAACATTCTTCACATTCATGATTATTTTGAATCCTTTTTTGAAAATAATTCACTTAGATTCGCTCATTGATCATTTTTATTCTGTTGAATATAATTCATACTGGCTTAGTACAGGTCAAAATGACTTAACCTATGCACAATATTTTGCTTTACTTATTCTTTATGTTAAAAATCATATATAATTGAAAGTTAATGTTAAGAAAAGAAATAAACAATAAATATTTCTTCAATAAAAAAACAAAAATCAACTTCTTAAAATTACATATGTCAAATAGTTCTAATTCATACAAAAAAATCTATTCAATACGATCGTTAAAATTCGTTTATAAGGTTTAGAAAACTTCATTAGATTTTTGAAAACATCTTAAACACTATTCAAGTGCAATATTAATTGACTGATCATATAACATTCTTTCCGCTGGCATTCTCTTTTTTTTTTCTTTTCTTTGTATGTCGAATGATTGCAATCATAGTCTATATCTTATGATTGTTTCTTATCTTCTTCCCGATATAAATTATATTTCATGCGTTGATGACAATAATCCCTAAAGGAATCTATTATAATTGTGTTTTCTTTTTATATGACTAGCGACATTCTACAACGAACTGTTTTATAGCGACATGTTCATAATCATTCTTATTGGTTAATATTCATTGACAAATGTATAATAAATTGATCTTTATGTGATTTGTTGTTTTCATTAAAAAAAAATCGAAAAAAATTTTAAAATATGCCATACGCAAATCAATCAACTGTTCATGTGACTGATTTAAATGAAGAAAATATAAAATTTATTATTGAAAATACTGATTTAAGTGTAGCTAATGCAATACGCCGTTGTATGATTGCTGAAACACCAACAATAGCAATTGATTCAGTACAAATTGATTCTAATACAACAGTTTTATTTGATGAATTTCTTGCACATCGTATTGGTTTAATTCCATTATATAGTGAAGAACTTGTTGATAAAATGAATTATCATCGTGATTGTGCATGTGAAGGTTTTTGTCCACAATGTTCAGTTGAATTTACACTTGATGTACGCAACAGAGAAGAACAAACAAGAAATGTGAGATGCAAGAAAAAAAAACGGAGATTGATTTCATTTCATATTCAATATATTTTAGATTACATCAGCTGATCTTATGACAAGTAATCCACATTTAGTACCAGTAACTTCAAAAGCAAAAAATGATGATGAAGGACAAGATCATTTTATTGAACGTAAGACATTTTTCTTTTTGTTGTTATTATTTAAAGAATAATTTATTCAGATATGTGTTAATAAAATTTATTTGAAAAGAAAAGTGTTCTTTTTTTTCTGTATAAATTAGTGAGAGTCATTTTCTGAAGGTTAACGTTTTGTAATAATATTCAGTTGAAGAAACGTGTTTTTTTTTTATATTCGAACATGAAAATTCAAGCTTTTATGAGAGAAAATATTCTAAATGAAGAACTGGAGTTCAGCATGGTAAAAGATTGTTTGAGTAAACGAGAGATTTTTTTGTTTTGAGCTATCGATAGAATTGATCTCATGTGATTTAGTAAAGTGAATGATGACGAAAATACGAGAGGGAGAGCAAAATGATGATGAGCAGATACCGAAAAGGATAAAAACAATATAACAACATGTGGAGAATGACGTAAATAAAAATGGTAGAAAAATCAAAAGTAAAGCAAGAAAAAAAAAGAAGCCAAAGAAATTAAATGTGCAGCTTCTCTTTTGAAGAGCAAAGGACAAATCTTCTGGTTGCCACTATAAGAAACCCAATATTATGATACATTTTTTTTTATTAGCAAGAAACTGACGACTTTATAAAGTCCTTACAGTACCGAGGTGAGAAGTACAGATATGAAGTACAGATATGAAGTAAAGAAAGTGAGAATGAAAGTGAAATCAGATATGTGTATCACGCTGCGAGAGTATCATCAAAAAATTAATAACACATCAACTAACATATAAGATTTTTATACAGATAGACAACAAAAACAATTTATTACTTTACTATCACGTTTAAAGGAACACAATAATGTAAGCACTGTCAAAAAGTCACTGAGGGTCATTACGTCTTCAATATTATAATGTAAAATCGATTCGTCCAAGGGTATACCCGCACACCAGGAGATACATGACTCCAACAATGAAACATGTTCTACATATCGTCTTGATCTGAAAATTCCCTTTATACTATTATCACCTTGCAGCCAGACTTTTCTAAACACATTTAAGTTCGCTTGGTCAAACATTAATATTATGATACATTTGAAACTAATCTGTGAAATGAAATATGTTAGGTATCTTTTATTTATCGGATAGAAGTATTATCATGAAGATATTTCGAAAACATAAGCAAATATTTCGTTTTTAGAATAATTTAGTAAAATTCTTTCTTTTTTTGTCTTTACATTCTATAGATATTCTCATTGTTAAACTTCGACAAGGTCAAGAACTTCGTTTAAAAGCTCATGCACGAAAAGGTTTTGGTAAAGAACATGCAAAATGGATTCCAACTTGTGTAAGTTTTTTTGTTGTTTTTTATTTCTTTTAATTAACAAAATTAAGAAATTCTTTTTAGGGTGTTTCATTTGAATATGATCCTGATAATATACTTCGACATACTATTTATCCAGTTCCAGAAGAATGGCCACATTCCGAACATACTGGTAAATAGAATATTTTCTAATTAGAAACAAAAAAATATCTGTAAAAAAAAAACATTTAGAATTATCTGAACATGAACATGAAGCACCATTTGATGCAAATAAAATTCCAAATAAATTCTATTTTAATGTTGAATCTACTGGTGCATTGAAACCGGAAACAGTATGTTATTTTATTAAATATAAAATAATTGTTTTTTTTCTTAAATTTTTATCTATTAGATTGTTTTATCTTGTTTGAATGTTCTTAAACAAAAATTGAGTAATTTACAAACATTACTTAAACATGAAACATTAGAAGGACCATGAAAGATAAATATTTTTTGTGTTTAGAAAAAATTTAATAGTCAGAGAAAAAAAAATATGAATGTTTTTGTTGTCTTTGTTAATATTCTAGATTTTATATTTATGAAATAAGATGTTAATAAGAATAGTTTATATATTGATTAATAAATTATTTTATACGTAATGTTATCAAACGGATTAAATTGAATTTTTTTTGTTTTTTTGTCAATTACAAATGTCCGATCGAAAATCTAAAGGATCATCATCATCTATTCATCGATCAACATCGTTAAATGAACATGAACCAACTATTGATAAAAAACGAGAAAATGATGATCAAGTATATGCAAGATTGTCACCGAATCGAGGTATGTAAAAGTACATTGCTCTACATTAATTATTTTTCCAGAAAAAATTTAATTCAAATAGACTAGGTGAAGTTTTCTATTGAATACAATATAGATTCTAAATTTTCTCTGAGTAACACTACATGAGAATTTGTAATGCATGCTTTTATTATCAATTAAATTAAGTGTAAGGGGAAATGATTACATGTTATAACTAGCAATGTTTCAATGTAGACATCCATTTCCGGCACATATTAACAATAATAACTCGGTAAATATCATGAAATGCCATTCATCTTTTATGTATCTTATTGAAATCGCTAGAAAGATTAAAAAAAAGAACTCGATGTTCGAGTCCGGAAACTAAGTTCAGGCAATGTCAAGTATTTGAGTAGTTGCCCAAGTGTTTCAGCTGCCATGACTGAGTGACTATCGATACGTATCCACAAGATACTGTACGCAAATCTCAGTACCATCAACTATGAAATAAATCTAGGCAAGTCTCTATTTGTCTCGACTTATCTTTCATCAATTCTTGATGTCTATTATCCAAACATTGAAATTAGAAATCTCGATGATCGATTGTTTTTTTTTCTTTATAGACAGTCAAATGACAGTAATATTTCGACCAGAACAACCATCTCCATTATCAACTACTCCTCAATCAAATTCTTCAACGTCCGAAATCAGTCGATCACGTGCAAAGACCATTTCAACAGCTAGTACTACACACGAAGGTGAAAGTTCATCAATTCCATCAACTGGTTTTAATTTTCTTCAATCAATCAGAGATTTAACACATCAAGAATTAAATCGTGCTAATCCATTAGGTCTTCTTGGGAAAGAAGTTATATTAGCAACAGGAACAACACATTGTCCAGAACCAATACCACCTAAAGAAATTGATGAAATATTAATAAATAATATAAAAACATCATCATCAACATCACCAATTAGTGATAATGAACCTCAACAATTACATTTTCCATTAAATGAAGAAGAAAAAATTCGAATGCAACGACGTCGTTCAACATTAGCTAATATAACTGATATGACACTTCCACCATGTCCAGCTGAATTTATTCCAAATAATAATGATCAAGATTTACAACCTCATCTTTTTTCTCAACCATCACCAGGTACAATGGTTGCAGATTTTATACCTGATACAATGACAATTAATGTTTTTGAAGTCTTTATTTATGCTTGGGGTGTATTTGCATTCTTTTTTGATATGGTTACTGATCTTGTTTTGGCACATGCTTATTATTTAGAAGGTGCCTATTGGTTATTTATATTAACATTAATGTGTGTTGTCTTACCAAATTTAACACTATCAGTATTTTCACTTGTTTGGTATATTGATAGTAGTCAATTAAAAGCCGCTGCTAATGATCAAAATAAAACAGAATATGAAACATCACATCAAACTACATTTTGTCAAACAGATGATTTAATGGAAAAAGATAATATTGAAGATCAAATTGATTCTCATATATCACGAATAAGACATCAACCACAAATACCGGAAGAAAAATTAAAAAGAAGAAAAACTTTTCATCTACCATCAACAACTGCTAATGTTTTAACATGGATTATTCGAATTATTATACTTGTACTTCAACTTGATTTATGTCTTAAGTAAATTTAATAATTCATATAATAGAATATTTACACTACTTCCTAAAAGTATTGCTTCCCTCGTCGAATTTTAGTTCTTATCAGAGCTAAACGTCTGCAGGGAGTCTACAGATAATGTATGTCAGCGACAACATCAACGACAAAATCGCTCACGCTAGATCGAAATTAATTTTATAGCTCTCTATTATAGCTATTTCTGATATGAATTTTATCGAAGTGCATCAAGGTATTGATGAACTAGAAGATTTTTACTGAAAACATGGATATGCAAGAAAACCATACGAATTTTATTGGACGGATCAATCTAAAACTTGTAGAAGGCGTTCCATCATTGTTTTGTAAAAGTTTCAAAAGCAAGCGCTGTACGAAACGAAAATGGCGCACTGATAACTATCGTAATATTACTAAGACTCTGAAGTTTCGATTACTCAAATACATGAGATCATCTTTTGAACAATGAAGGATTATGAGTTGCGCTTAGGCATCAGAGAGACCACCTTTTTTTTGGTTTCGTCTCGTTCCCGGTCTAATCAAAATTTCTATTGCTTCTGCTTCTGATTTCGTTTCTAGAAAAAAAAAAGATTTTTTTAATAATCTGTATGATTTTTTGAATACATATGCAATTAACATTGATGATTTTGAGAAATTAATAGTATGAGCATATGCATGCATTAAAACTAAAATACAAAGCCACTTCTATATCTCACTCAAGATTTTTCTTGGTTCTGACCGTGTGACTTAGGAAATTTCCTCAGAACTCATAATTCTTGGATAGATATAAAATCTAAATGAGTGAGCTTATATCGGTGTTCTCTCAAAAGTCATTTTGATAATATCAAAATTTAGGATCTGCAGAGCTATGAGTACTATTTTTAGTAAGGACTTCCAAGATGGTTCTGGTTCCGATTCAGGATCGAAAAAAGTGATTTTTGCAGATCCATAATTTTATCTCAATCATAAATAAAAAAGATCAATTTGTAGATCATTAGTTAGAACAGAAGAATAAGTATGAAGATATGTAGTCTGATTCTTGAGCAGAAAATATAACGGGACTAGTTTTATCAAGTTTAAAGTCCTAGTCTCGATGGGACCGGAAGCACTTTGTAGTCCCCTGGTTGCACTATAATTTCGTGCTAAAAGATCGATGACTACTTCATATATTGCCTTAAAAAGAAAACCTATGGTTTTTTTCTACCAAATGGAGTAATCATTTACATTTGTCAAGAGACCTACGGCAAAGGAAAGGATACTTTTGGCCAATAGTGTAGTTTTTAGAAATTAGAAATTTACAAATGTATTAAATTATTTAGATATATTCGGGGTTTATATTATACATGGAAAGGTTTTCAAAAACGTCATAATCCAAAATGGAAACGTTTTTATTTAACAAAACAAATTTTAATTGATGCTGATATTGCATTATTACGTGTATTTGATTGTTTTATGGATTCTGGTTCTCAAGTTATATTACAATTATATATTATGTTACGACTTGGTTCAATGTCGATGAAATGTAAGAAATTGATTTTTTTGTTTTTGATTAAAAATTATCTTTACTATGTGTTTTTTTTCTTTAGTCGATACTCTTTTTGCAAAACAATGTTTATCAATTATTTCATCACTTGGTTCATTAGCTTATGCATTAAGTGGTTATTCAAGATGTTGGAGACATATGCAATTAACACATTCACCACAAGGTTGGCCAAAAGGTAAAGCACCTCCACAATTAGTTTCTTGGTGGAGTACAATTATTCAATGGGTATTTATTATTATTATTATTATTATTTTTTAATTTTAATTTATAATAAATATTTCTATTAAGTTTTGGTATTTATTTTTAATAACACCAAGAGTTTTAGCACTTGCAATGTTTGCTGCAACATTTCGTTCATGGTTTTGGATTATTCTTGTTGGACATTGGTTTGGAATGCTTTTTTGGATTCTTCGTTTTGTAAATATAATAAATTATATCGCTTATTTAAAAAAAGAAACAACAAAAAAAAAACTTTTTTTCTCTTCTATTTAGCGTACAATTTTTTGTATTAGTGATCAAACAAAATATAATCCACGAGAAGCAATTTTTGAAAAATGTTACAATCTTGTTTGTTCATATATATTTATATTTTGCTATATGGTAAATTTCTTTTTCTTGTAACATAAAAATTATTAGCATAATCTCTGTGACATGACCGTTTTTCACAAAAAAAAAAAACAAAATTGACAAAAATTGATTCATTCTTATGTTTTGTAGAATTTACGAAAAGGTGATACTCGTTTACATTATATTGGTTTTTATACAATATATTATATTGAAAATATATCATTTTCAATTATCTATGCAATTCATTCAGCTGAGACAAATTCTGTATTGAAATATTCACTTGTAACATTTGTTTGTGTTGGTTTTTGGTTTGCTGTTTTTTTTCAATTTATTTATTATCGTTTTCTACATCCAAGTGATCATGTTCGTATTAATACAAAACATAATGTTGCATCAATAGTACGTATAAGACCTATACCGCGTTTTAATCGTATGAAAAAATCGAAATCATGTGAAGAAATGATTGATCATAATGATTTACAAAATCAAAATGAAAATAATGATCTTAGTGAAACAATATCTTTACAATTTAATTCAAATTCAATTAATGAACGATGGCATAATCGTTTTTCAAAAGAAAATAGACAAAAACTTATTTCACAACAACAAGCTATTGATCAAAAAGTTAAATTAACAAGAGCACAAAAACAATTGGTATAAAATCATTAATATGATAATTGATTTAAGAAAGATCTTAGAAGTTCAAAGAAGAAATAGATGATCTATTTATGCTTGAAGTTTACTATTTCTGCATTGAGAAGGGCATCAATTAGAAATCATTGAGTACTTAATAGTAAGGATGTACAGTTTTAGTTTACTGTCTA